GGGATGGATGGGTAGATAGGAGAAGTATATAAACTGAGTATTTTTATTGGTAAATAAAGTAATACAAAATTATAGTAGTTCATTTACAGCTATGAAGCTTGCATGAATTTTTATGATAGGACTTAAGACTTAAGAGATTTATTTTTTTGTATTTGTTTGTTCATTTGTTTTGATTTTGTAGTAGACAGCTTTGGGCTAGGCTTCTAAACCTTCCCCCAGGAATCATTCTCCTTTGCTATTGGAGCAGCTTGCTGCATGAGTTTGAGAAACCTGGTTCTAGAGCTACACCCCAAACACTCTTCTATGCTTTATCTGAATGATAGGTTTATTACAGCCATTCTTCAGCCATAACTATTCCCCCTCCCCCCCCCCAGATCAACCAAAGATCTACTGGAAAAGTTCTACTCCACAAACAACTGGACCTACAATTTTGATGTCATGCCACCAGGTGGTGGCAGTGTCAAAGTCATATGTATCCTTAGTTTCATGGGATAGCCCTAAATTCAGTTTGGCCTGTTTTTCCCTCAAAAAGTATATCAATATTTTATATTTTTTAATATTTCAATATTCCTAATGTCTCTGGATGCTTTGTGTATTTAGAAGTTTCACAAAACTGGCCCTGCTAGTTGGGTGCTTTTTGTGTTTAAAGTATGGTTTTTACTTGACCAAAGGGCATGGTTCAAACTTCCAGGCCTGCATTTCATCAGATTCACATATAGGGTTTTGTTCAGGTTCTGTAGTATTTATAACCATAAATTTCTTACACTGTAACTCTTTTTGAAAAAATAGCTTTCAATTAGATGCAAAACAATCTCAATTTTGAATTTTGTCAATTATTTTGTTTTTTAAACCTATGTGCATTTTGACTTTTCAGTAATTTTTAAAAATATGTTTAAAATTGATTTTAGAGAAGGAGGAAGGGGGAGAGAGAGGAACATTGATGTGAGAGAGAAACATCAGTTGGCTTCCTCCTGCATACCCCCTACTGGGGATTGAGTCTGCAACCTGGGCATTCACCCTCACCCGGATATGAACCAACGACCTTTTGGTGCATGGGATGATGCTCAACCAACTGAGCCACACTGGCCAGAGCTCAATAATTTTTAACACTTAAAAGTGCCTCACATCTTTGTTTGGCTGCTCTCAACTCTTGAGTTAGTTTATAATCCAAATGTGTGAGGTCGCTCTCTTCACTCTGCTAAAGCTATTTAGGCTATGGAAGAGAAGGCATTAGTTTGCTTTTCTAATCCAGTGAAATACAAGTTTTCTTGACTCTTTCTACTTTACAAGGCAGAAATAGTAAAAGAAGAAAGATCATTATTCTGTGTCATGAGCAAGAAAACATCCCTGCAAGGAGTCACTCACACACGTTTGTGTCTTTCCACAATGCCAGGTTATTAGGGGAGACCTCCCCAGTAAGCCAACAGAGTCACATACAGGTTACACACAGGGGGGGGGCTTACTCTGTAGAAACAAAGTCCAGTCACTTGTAGCGTCCACGGGTGGAGAGGCGGGCGTGGGTCTCAAGCCAGGTGGCTGCAGTGGCAGCACGCATCTGGTGGAGTGGAAGCCTCCTTGGGCTCTGAGCGTGGCCCGTGGTACAGCCAAGCTTGAGCACTGGGCAGTCGAAGCTCCGAGTTGTTATAGTCTGCAGTGAGCAGCAGTCCCGCTCATATCAGTGTCCAGATGGCGTTCTTACACGAGTGTCCAGACTTCTGGTTTTGGACAATTACATGGCTCCTGTTTTTATATATAAATACATCTTTGTAGTGTTTATTTTCTTATGATTGATTCATAAATTTAATGTTTCCTTAAAAGATAAATTTTAAAGTTTTAGATACTCTTAACAAGACTTTGAAAATATATATAATTTCAAAGTAAATGATACTGACTTTTTTCTTTAAGGAAAAATGAAAGATACAGAACCTGTTTTTTTCATGACACATTGTACATGGACTTTGATAAAGCCAAAGACTAATCTGGATTCTCTTGCTATTACTTCTTTTCCCTGTTCCCTGTTTCTTGACATTCTTTCCCACCTATGAAAACTTCTATCCTCCTTCCCTAATGCTTTGGAATTTTTTTTTATTTCTAAAAAGGAGAAAATCAGAATTCCAAAGCAGCCAACTTGAACCAGTCTTTCTGTTCCTCTTATGAATAGGCAGTTCCTCCAGGCAGTGAATTAGCCCTTTAGAAAACATTGGCATTATGTTTCTCAACCTTGAGTGTCTGGTATAGGTGGCTTGGAATGTATTAAAGAGAAGCATTGTGTCAGATCCTCAAATCTAAAGATGAAATCTGGTTCTTACTAATTATAAGTAGTTTTTGTTGTTGCTGCTGCTGTTTTGTTCTGAGTTACTGGATTTTTAAAAATTATTGTTTGCTTTAGTGAAAGTTGGAAATGGACTTATTGCAGTATATAGTTGGTTCTTGCTTTATGTTATAGAAATGTGTAGGGAGAGTTTGCTCTTTAAAGGAATCCTGTGCTGAATACCTTCTATGAATATAGAGCATCACTCCTTTTTCTACTTTTGTAAATGTGGAGTTTTCTATTTCTTATGGTGAGAGAAATGTTGATATTTTGTTTAAGTTCAGGCTGCAGTATTTAGCAATAATTCATTTTTGTTGACGAACTCGATAATATCCTCCCATATTTTAATAGCTTGTGTATTTTTGTTGAGTTTGTCACTGAAAGAATAGGTTTTGTTTAGAACAGTAGTTGTCCTGTGGTGCCCCCAACCAGAAGCATGAGAATCGCCATCACCTGGGAGCATGTTAGAAATGCACATTATTAGGCTTCACCCCAGACCTACTGTTCAGAAGCTGGGAGGTGGAGCCTCGCAACCTGTGTTTTAACAAGCCCTTTGGGTGAGTCTGGTATATGCTAAAGTCTGAGAACTACTGGTTTAGATAATATCTGTACAGCTCTTATCACTTGAGGCCTGGGTTTGGTTTAATTCCAAGATACGCATTAGGAACTATGGCAATATTGCTTCTAAGAGATGTGTAGATGAAACACTGATAGCAGAGGCCACCTCACGTGAATTGCTTTCATTGTTTCCAGTAGTTGAGATTTTAAGAACTAAACAGAGAGCCAAGAATCCTTCACTATTGAGCTGAACCAAATTGCTTCAGTACTTAGGATAATTAGCAGAAGCTTCTCATTTGTTTACATCATTTAGATTGTGTCTCCCTTCATTACCAAGGTACTAAATCTGACAAATCATGAAATCACATTTCAGATAAATAAGGTTATTTTCAAAGTTAAGGAATTCCTGAATTAGTTCTCTTTCAAATGCTTTTAAATTGTAAATAATTACAAGCAGACAGACAATACCTGGAAGACACTTCATTAATGTAATTAAGATGTATCTCCATTAATTATTAACTTATATAACAACCTATTTTTAAATGTTTATAACATCTACCTATCTGGTTACTTTAAAAACGTTTTTAATGGAAAAATGTTATGATAATATGTATATGTGTGTATGTGTATTTTTTCATTGTATGTGTACTTTTTCAGCAGTTCTTTATTGCTGAAATTAAATGTTACATGCATTTATTAATTATTTTAAGTGGATCCTTCAGGGTGGGTTATTAATTTTTTAAATACGGTGTTATTTTATAAATGGGAACTTTTTTTTTTTTTTTTTTAAAGATCTCCTTGCTAAATATAGGGCTTTAGAGCTTATTTTGGCTCTAAAATCTACAGCAGACTTTTGTTTTTTAACTTAGGAAGATAATTACTCTCAAGAAGAGGTATAACTGGTTTGGTGGTGGTGTCTTCTTGGCATCGCACATGGGTCTTGTTCATGCTGTGGATTAGAATCAGTGATGAGAGAACCATTAGGGAAGGCTGACAATGTTCCCTTTATGCATATTGAGAAATGGAAGATTTCCTAAAGCTAGGGTAAAGCTTTCAACTTTTTGAAGATACTCTTTGTGATTTTTAAGCAAAAAGGGTTATCTAAATATTGTTTACCCTTTTCATATAACTAGGTCATATTGTGAAAGGCCAGTTTCTTATAATCAGCCAAGAGAAATCATTCATTCAATCATTAATTTTCTAAATTTTACAGCTCAAGAAAGAGGGAGGATTGGAACATATTTTAAGAAGGCTCTTAACCAATCAAATAAGTCTGTAATTTCTGACTAGTTTATAGCAAAATTCGTGGTGGCGAATTTAGTATTGGGAATTTCCTGTGATTATTTATTTAGTCATGGGCCCAAGTGAGATTTAAAAAGTTGAGGAGGGAAGCAATGTTCTGAAATTAATGAGTTCTTTTTGGCAAGGGCCCAGCCACACGCTAATGAATATTCTATATCTATGGTCTCTTTATGCTGGTATTATTTAATCCATTTTCATATATAATTTACTACTTTCTAAGCTTAGTACACTGCTTAAACCAGTCATTTCTAAGGTACGTAAAACATGCATAAAATTGGCCACAGGCTAATAGATATTTTTGTTCTCTGAGAACCTTAGACTATAAAGTATCAATTTCTCATAAAGTACCTTATTTATATAAGTGATCCATTCGTTTTTTACTTTGTTAGTGAAATAGGTCACAATATTATGAGTCTATAAGAAACAATTTAGGGATTTGAGAAGACTACTCTAGAAGTGAAATGAAATTTGAAGAGAATTTATATAGAACAGATTTTGAATTTTCAAATTCAGTTTTGAAATAATATACCTCAAATTATTTGGGATGGGGGTGGGGAACCTGGTAAATAAAACCTAGAAAAGATTGAAAGCATATTACTCATTTTTCTGCATAGGATAGGAAGAAATATTTTTTAACTTCTTTTTTTTTTTCAGATTGTCCTAATGGTTCATAGTACTTCATTTTCTTCTAATTTAGTTCCCAGTGTAGTCTTTGACTTTTTTGTTACATTGACTTGAACTGAAGACAAATCTCATTGTGTCTTTTTGACTCAGAAGCTTCCTGTTTAGCAAGTTTATCTTAGCAAACCATTTTGTTTTACTTCTCTAGTTGTCTGAGGGAAACCAGAAGCACGCAAATCTACAGAAAAGCATCGAGAAGGCTAAAATTGGCCGACATGAAACGGTAAGTTTGTGTCTGTAGATTCTTTAATAATGCCAATTCTAAATAAAAGAGTGAGGGCACACAGCTCCCTCTGAGGAGTATGCTACTTCTACCAGAAGAGAAGTGAGTCACAGAAAGGGACATGAACGTTTGACCTGGTAGGATTCACTAATTGCGAATCTAGATTTATTATTATTTTATTGTATTGTATATGGCAGTATAGCGTAGAAGCATAAACTTTGGAGCCAGACTGCCTGGGTTTGAGAGGCTCCTAAACTCTCTGTTCTCAATTTTCTTAGTTGTAAAATGGGGAATAATAAAATCTACCTCGTTAGGTATTTCTGTGGATTAAATTAACATTGGCAAAGCACTTAGAAGAGAACCTGGCATAAGGTAAGACCTATATAAATGTTTATATGTGTTTTTAAGAGTCTTGTTTTTTAAGTCTTGGCACAGAACAGATGGAAAATTATCAATATAATATTCTTATGGCCTTGTAATATTTCTAAATTATTTAAATGAATATTGACTTACTATTTTACTTTTTAAAGTGCAATGTTCTCTAAAGTAGTGTGTTAGGGGTTTTTAAAAACCACTTCTCTTTTTAGTTTCATCATTATCTCAGGTATGTGTGGATTTATGACTTGAGAAAATATTGAAGATCAACATCAACCACTAAGCATTCCATCCAGGCTTCTATCTGTACCATTTGATTGTGGAAGAGACTTAAAACCGTCTCACATTGTGGAAAAGACTACCTGTCAGGTTTACATGATTTGTGAATACCATATTAGCACAGCTTAGGAGAGATGTACTCAGTGGCCACTCTTGTGAAACTGCTTTTCAGAGTCGTTTCACATACCTTCTTCCATGGGAATAGTCAGCACAGCCACAGACAGGATCTGGAGAATGGTAGTTTCTAAAGAATACTCACGGGAAGGGAAGTTCTGGGCATAGCCTGAAGCTGTTATTTCTTCCTCAGTCGATAGCAGCAGTTGCCACTTCTTTGTTTGAGCCTTTTTTCTTCAACATTGGCAATAACTTATAGAAGCACCTTCAACTAACGGTGACATACCCATGCCCACAAGTTGTCAGCCAGTCTGCTCCGTGTTACCCAGTCCACTGGAACCCTTGCAACTGGGAAAAAACCTGTAGCAAACCTCGTTGGTGCCTGCTGCTGTCAGAAGAGTATAGTAGCTCAGACAGGCTCCTGAGAAAGATGCACTCTTGTGTTCATCCTGGGTTCACCAGTCAGGACTTTACAGAAATAAGTAGCCCCTGTCTACCAGATATTATTTATGGTAATGATGCTGACAATGATGGTAAAGAAGAAATAGCTAACATAAATATTCTGCTTAATATGAGCCAGGCAGGTACTGTTCCAAATATATATTTATTGAATTCTGCCAACAGTAAAGGCGATAGCTACTATTAGTATTTCCAGTTTAGTGAAAGCACAGAGGTTGAGTATTTTGGGAAAGATCTCAGTGCTACAGCAGTCTGAGGTGGCTCCCAATTCCGGGTGTCTGGAGAGGGAGCATTACATTCACACAGATGTTCACCACTCTGCTTCTCCTGTCTTCGTTAGTTTTTTCTCTCATTTTTCACTGTGGAGCATGTATAATTCGGGTGTGGATGGCAAATAATGACCATCTTATATTGTAGTTATTTTTAAATCTCTCCTAAGCTGTGCTAATATGGTATTCACAAATCATGTGTGGCCATTGACACTTAAATTAAAATTAAATACAAATAGATTCAGTCTCGCAGTACCAATAGTCATATTTCATGTACTCAGTAACCACATGTGGCTAATGTTTTCTGCGTTAGGACATTTCTATCATTGTAGAGTCCTGTTGGGCCCTGCTGCTTCAGAGCACGCTGCTCTGTACATGCATTTTTTTGTACAAATGCTTGCAAAGAGCTTTTTTCACTTTGGAACCAAAGAGAACAGAGAAAGGCAAAAGTAGAAAAATACAGTGCAGAAACACAAGCTAGCAAGGAACCTTAAACAGGTCTTAATAGCATGAAGTACTTAGTTTTGCCTCAGACTTATCTTCTAATTCTGTATCATAACCTTTACCAGTATTTGATATTTGTTTGGACTTATTTTTCAAGTTTCACACATGAATTGAATACCAACAGCTCCATGACTTTTACCTGCTAGTGAGAATTATGGCTAGAAATTGCAAATGGCATTTTTTGGATCACATTGTATTTAAAAGCTTTATTCTTGTTTAACTTTAAAGGAAAGTGATGAGAAGCCACAAGCTACAATTCTGTTATTTCTGATATCTTTAAATATTTTTAAAGGTTAATCATCCTTAAAGGTTGAAAAATTATCTAAAACACTTTTAAGGAAAATTATATAATAATTGATGCTACCTTAAATATTATACATATATATATAGACACAATCTTGTGAAACTACTCAAGTGGCAGTATGATTTTTTTTACCTAACATAAAATGACACAGTCTTTGAGTTCATACATAATCGGTAACCTCTTATTTGTTTATGAGCATTTCATTCTATGTACTCTCATTAGGTTAGTCGATATATATACAAGATGCTTGAGATGTCAAAGAAAAATTATAATTGAACTGTTCTTAAACTGTAGATATATGTAGGTGTATTTATAATATTGTCAAGGCCCAATGTACATCAGTTATGAGAAATAAAATGAAAATGTCTATAAAATGTATAACCTTATATGACATTTTGTTTGCCTTAATTATACATAAAACTATTTTAAATTCAGGAAGAGCGAACCAGGTTAGCAAAAGAGCTTTCTTCACTTCGAGAACAAAGGGAACAGCTAAAGGCAGAAGTAGAAAAATACAAAGAATGTGATCCGCAAGTTGTGGAAGAAATACGTAAGTTTGTGTCACATATTGAGGATTTTAACTTTGCTAATGAAAGAGACTTTGCAACCACCTGGTAACCTTTCTCAATGTATATGAAAATAAAGCCATTAATATTATTAATGTTGCATTAAAATTTCCTTTACGGAGACTTAGTGTTAAAGCATCGAATAGTGATAACTTTAAAATTAAAAACATTTCAAGGATAAGGAAGTTAGGTGGTGTAGAAGGATAAAGACATAAAATATAAGCTTAGGAAACTGAGTCAGAGAAGGAGCTAACTAGGCTCTAAGTACCTTGACTCTAGAAGGAGATCTATCAATATCTTCTAGAAAAAATGGTAGCAAAATATAAGGGTTTGCAAGTTGCAGAAATTCTGTCTGTGTGTTGACTTGCCTTTTGAATATACAATGATGTTTTGTCTTACTTTTAAACCAGAGTCTCCAAAACTTCCACTTTTAAATATTTTTAAATATTTATGTAAAGATAGAAATTTGAATATTTAAAAAAATGAAAGGGTATATTATAAAGACACAGCACTTAATTGTTAAGGAAAATACAACTTTCTTCACATTTTTCTGTCTTAGCCTCTCTTTTCATTTAGGAAACTTGACCAAGTGAAACTTTTAGAAGAACTGACATTATACTACGTGATTGAAGATTTTAAAAGAAACTGAAAATATTTGGCACTTTAAAATTAAACTGAGAATAGTTTGATAACAATTAAGTTATCCTTGGTGGTATTCTTTACAGTTAAAAAAACTCGCAGTTCAATTAGTGTAATGTAAAGTTCAACTTAATTTTAGAGATAGGTCCCTGCTTTGCACAGCTCCAGGAGGCACATTCACGTGCATGTACACAGCCTACATGGTGGTATTTATTGGCTCTGGCTGCGCCGACTATCCACGGTGATTTTCAGAGTGGAGGCAGAACCCCCCGAGCTAGTCATTTTCTATAAATTAGGTTTTTGGGGAGACATGTTAGTTATTTCATGCTGCCCACAGGTTCATTTCATTTATCAACATCCTGCAGAAGAAAGTGCTAACCAAATCTACTGCTACAAAATTAATCACTTTAGTTTGTTTTAAAGTTTTAAACTAACATCAAGTGACCCTCAGTGAGCACATCAAAGCGGCAGGAGACAGATTACTACCAGGAAGCTAGGCCTGCTCATACTTCATCTTTAATAGAAAGATGACATCAGTGTGTGTCTTGTCTAGAGCAGCTTCTCAGGAAAAAGAACTTTAAGAACAGTTTCCTTACCCAGACTTACTACCTTCAGCTGGTTTATTTTCAGGATCAGAATGCTGTGCTCTTTATCAGTTCATCATGAAAATTCTGTTTTCACACAGTAAAACAGTAACCAAATCTGATCCTTTATTTGTTATTCTTACTTGGTTCTGCCTTGCTTCCTAATTTCAGTTTTGTGTAATTCTTGGATGTTTTCCTTTACCAACTCTTTGCTTACCTGTTTCATTCTTTTCTGTCTGGGACCCACAATCAAGGCTTCTGCTTTTCTACTCTGTGATCCCCTTTGTACAGCTGTTTAGATGACCCTGACTGATATCACTTCTGCTTATGACCTCTCATTTTTATAGTACTTCATAATTTTGATTTCATCTGTCCTCTCAGAAATGACTAAAACTCTTATTTAGGCTTACAGAACTACTCCAGCATATACCATTGGTGATCCTAAGGTAGTGAATCATCGTGAGGTACAGAAAATCATCAGGGATAGAGAATTGTGCCAGACTGATTCATGAAATAGGAAAACTTTTATTTCAGGCATGTAATTTCAGATGTTACCATTTCTTGTACCTCTGAATCCAGCAGCAGGTTTGGCAAGTGCATCACCTCTTAAAAAGAAAAATAAAACTTGAACAAGTTTCAGGGTATATAGTGGGTGATGGATTTTCTGGAGAGCAGAAAGCATAGTTGAGGAGGAAATTATAACTAATTTTATACTGGTTGCCCTAATGCTGCTGTTCTTCTTAACCCTTGAATTTAAAAGCTTAGTAATTTGTTTCTCAACCCAAGGAAAACATACCAATGTGAATGAGTATTATGAGTATGAGATCTAATTGAGAGGAAGAAGTTTTCTGGTTTAGAGTGAGTTAAGAGACTTTATCATTCTTCATCAACATGAGACCTAGATTATCTTTTAATATTTATTTATGCAGCCACATAATATGGATCTATATTTGAATCCTATAGAATGTGTGATGATGAATCTATTACAGATATGTTCATTTTTTACATTTTCACATTGTACACTTCTGATCTTAATAGAGGAAGGGAATGAAAGGATAAGTCCTTCCTTCCCGGCTTTGTGCTGTGTGTTTCCTCCATTAAAAAATACTATATATTTTTATAGACTACACTAATTATAGAAAATTACAGCATATTTAATAGACAGGACAATTACATTATTCCATAAATATATTTTAGATTTCAAAGTAAGATATCTTTTTCTATATAAAGCTACCAAACTACAATCCAAAGGGGTGGGATGGGGACCATCAAAGCCTACATACCTATATACAGAATTTGTAGTCTAACTTCAGTTTATAATTTTACAGAGAAATGTACAGTTTCTCTGCTTTTAAAATTCAGCTAAGAAAACTTTATTCAAATGTGGCACTTCTACTTCCAGCCAAGATAGTAATAGACTGCATTTTTCCTCTGATATATTGAAACAACAATATATGAAATAATGGTTTTCAAGATATTTGATATCAGACAACAAAGGACAGTAGTTATTAGGACAAAGTAAGCCTTACAGTTGTTCCACCTTATTTTGTTGAGAGTTTCCTGTCTGTGGCACAAGGAAGGAGAACCCTGGCAGAGCCCTGCAGACTCCCTTAATTGAGAAGGAATTGAGAATCAGGGAGATCAGTGTGGCTAGAGCTGATGTAGGTCAACGTACTAGAGAGGAGAGAATTATATAGAAAAAGAACCCTGGATATCTACAGAGGATTTCTCTCAAGTATTCAATTCATGCATATGAGGAAACTGCCCAAAGCTGGGGAAAGAACAATCTCCAAGGATTAGAAGGAACAGTGCCAGGCACTCACATAGGACCGGGTATAGTGCCTACCTTTATCAGCCAGACTGGAAAAATTTATAATTCAGAAGTCATTGGGTAGAGTACTCAAGAAGGTCTTGCCTACTCTCAACCCACCTAACAAGCCATAAGAGCAAGTCTTGAAAGCATCAAAGTGTTTCAGAGTAACTTTTGGCATCACAGAACAAGTTGAAGAATATTTATAGGAGCACAAAAATATCTAGCACCCAAAATAATAAAATTTATAATGTCTGGCATACAATGAAATATTACCAAGCATGCATGCAAAGAAGTAGGAAAACACGATCCTTGATGAAAAGAATAATCCATTAATCAATACTGGCCTAGAACTGACACAGATGGTAAAATTAGAAGACTGTATAATATTATAAATTATTGTAACTATATTCTATATATTCAAAGAGTTAAGTAGAAGCATGAAAGATATAAAAAAGACTCAAGTTAAACTTGTGGAGATAAATACTTCTGAATTGGAATGACAGCAGATTAAATTTCACAAAAGAAAGGATTAGTTTATTTGAAGACATAGCAGTAGAAATGATCCAAAATGAAGTTTAGAGAGAAAAAAATTTTTTTTAATGAAAACAGCATTCATGAGATGTAGGACAACTTCAAGTGACCTAATGTATTTATAATTGGAATCCCAAAAGGAGTGTATGTTGTAGGGTAGGAGAGGTTTCCAGGCCAGAAAAATATCTGACAAAATAAATATCAGAAATAAAGGCTAGTCATACTGACTAATCCAGGCAGCTAACTCATTGGTTTATGCAACTTTATTGAAGAAAAATAAATCAGTTACTAGCAAAGTTATTAGTTGGTCACTTATTCATTGACAACTTGCATCATTTATTTAGTGCTATATTACGCAGTATATTGGAAGATAGATTAACTAATAACTCCAAGCCTCCTAACAATTTAAATGAAAATTATCAAATTTTTGAGACCCTATTTTGGAATACAAAGGGTGTTTGACTTCCATTTTCCATTCTCTGTAGAACAAGAACAGGTCATTCATTCCTTTATTGATATGCATAAAATACATCACAGTTTCTATTCTGCTGATGCTATAAATTCAATACCAATTCTTCAGCCACATCAGTTATGAGCATAAAGTATGTAATGTAACCTTAGGTCTCTAACAGTGGAAGATTTAAACAAGAATGGATGCTACTAGAATAATGCTGTTTCCTTTGATGTGACAATTGAGCATCCATCTGCCTCCTCCTCAGATGATTTCTTCAGCATGTCGGAGTAGTGAGGAATGGTTTTCGCCGCAACCAAGTTAGAGTGAAGACATTGGCCACATAATACACATGCTCCATTTTTTAAAAAATTCTGAATCTTGGGCAGCTGTTCTCTTGTAACTACTTTACAGTTTCTAAAAGCAGTTATTGTCCATATCTGGAAGAACTTAAGTCTCAAATGAGCATCTGAAGTGAGTGGAAGGAAGTAAACAAAAAATAAAACTAAAAAAGATGAGGTCTGATAGGGGAGCAGCCAGGTAAGAAAATCAAAAAAGGAACAGTAATTTAAAGTTCATTCCAGCTATAATGCAAGTTACTCTGACTTTAAGGTAGCATCACATGGCATATTTCTGAGTCCATTTTCGAGATACTCTGTTGTGCTTATCTCTGTCTGTTTTATAGATCCATGCAATCTCTTTCACTAGGGGGTCATCTAGGTTTGGATCACGTAGCAGTGAACAAATGGATAAAAGAACTTTAGAAATAGTTAATGCAGGAGACCACTGTAATCTCAGAATATCGAGACAAATGCTGCCATTACTTTTAATATTTGGGTGATAAATTCTTGTTATAAATGCAACCTTAGGTGGTTTGAAGAGGTAGTCTGTAGGAAAATGAATTGTCAAAAAGAACACACCACCTTGATATAGGCTGTATCCCAATTGTGGCTTGCCAATGAAACATATCATCTCAACATTATGCTGGAGGGTCACGGGCCAAATCACTAAGTACCTTATTAATCCATTTCAGTGCCATAGTCTGTACTTTGTGTCTGGCGCCTCACTATCTCGGAGTGTGCTCAAAGGTCCGGCCAAAACTCTGATTATCCTGACGGCGGGGAAGGATTGTCTCTTTGTCTCACACTGCCTCTGCCAGACACAGGCGCTGAGGGTCCCATGCCTCCCTCAAGCTGCTGCCTTGGTCTCCTCCCCACGAGGAAGCTGGGTGCCTCCCTGGCCCTACAGGACTCATGCACACAACAAAAAGCAGCCACTTTTTTTTTTTTTAAGTCTTCCCCTGAGGATATTTTTTCCATTGCTTTTCAGAGCCAGTGGAAGGAAGGGAGAGAGAGAGAAACATCGATTGGTTGCCTCCTGCACGGTACCCAACCAGGGCCGGGGATTGAGCCTGCACCCGAGGTATGGGTCCTTGACTGGAATCAAACCCGAGACCCTTCAGTACATGGGCCAATGCTCTAACCACTTAGCCACACCTGCTAGGGCAAAAAGCAGCCACTTTTAAAAACAATTTATCTCTTCCCAAAAATGTTATACATGGAGTTACCATTTGAACCAGCAATTCCACTCCTAGGTATATACTCAAATTGAAAACATGTTCACACAAAAATTATTATTATTACTATTTTTAATCCTCACTCAAGGATTCTTTTTCATTGTTTTTTTTTGTTTGTTTGTTTTTTAGGGAGAGAGAGAGACATTGATGTGAGAGAGATGCATCAATTGGTTGCCTCCTGCAGGTGCAACCCAGGTATGTGCCCTTGACCTGGAATCAAACCCAAGACCCTTTGGTGCACCGGCCAATGTTCTAACCACTGAGCAACACTGGTCAAAGCCACAAAAATTATTAAAGTATTCATATTAGCAATAACAACCCAAATGTTCATCACTTGATGAATGGTTAAACAAAAAGTGGTATATCCATACAATGGAATAGTATTTGGCAATAAAAAGGAATGGAGTAGTGATACATGTTACAACATGGATGAAACTTGAAAACATTGTGGTAAGTCAAAGAAGCCAGACACATATTGTATGATTTCGTTTATATGAAATGTTCGGAACAGGGAAATCTGTAAAGATGGAAAGTAGATAGGTAGTCTCCAGGAACAGGGGAGAGAGAGAATGTGGAGTGACTCCTGATGTGTATGGGATTTCCTTTTGGGTAATGAGAATGTTCTGGAATTAGGTGGTGCTGGTTGTACAACCATGTGAATATAATAAAAACTGCTGAATTATACACTATCATATAGTGAATTGTGCGGCATATAAATTACCTTTTAATAAATAAATGCTATCATATAAAAATATTTATGCCCATTTGATCATGGCATTATTATGTGCTATGTAGATTAACTTGAAGGACAATATAGACACAGACACATTCAATAGCACAATGTATAGTTAAATGTAAGTAACTGTTTCCTCCTGTAGTGCTACTGTATGACCACTGAGATTTTTTTAGGTCAGGTTTATTGTGATCCTATATAAACACAGTACACTAAAATGCTTAACATTAAACTTAAATTATTTTATCTTTTGGTATTGTAAATCATTTGAGAAACACATCTCAGTTAAACTTATATGTTGTCTTTAAAGGAGAGTACAATAATGACATTTAGGAAAGAGAAAACTGTTCACTTTGACTTTCTATTAATGACTAATGTAACTGCAACTCTCTAAAATTTCCTTGGGAAGTTAAGCAGGTTTGTGAGATATAATATGTCACTATTTGAGCTTTTTTCCATAGTCATTTTATTTGTATAAACTTTTGTTCATGTAAGAAAAATAATCTCTAGATAGGTGAAGGCGATTATGTGTGCACGCGTGTGTGTGTATGTATGTGTATATACGTGTGTGTGTGTGTGTGTGTGTATGTATATATATATATACATATATATTCCTTTTTCTTCTTCAGGTCAAGCAAATAAATTAGCCAAAGAAGCTGCTAACAGATGGACTGGTATGTATTATAGTGGCACTGCTAAACTGTAGTTAGACTTCTACGCTTACTGTGATGTGAAATGCAGAAGCTGTTGTGCCTAGGTTTGTTCAAGAAAAGACATTTCTGGAAATGCAGGTATTAAGCAGATTTTTATATATTAAATCATTTTAATTCCTTAAGGTTTAAAAAAAAATTTTATTGAGTCATTTTGTAAAGTATAAGATAGTTTTGAAAAACTTATGTCTGCTTCCAGTATAACTTTTATGTGACTTTTCCCAGATAAGCCACTTAGGCTAATCAAAGCCTTCATACAACTTTAAGAGTTTTGTGGAATCCTAAAGATTTGTCTTCTTGCTAATAATAACAGCTAACATTTGGTGGGGGCTGATTTTAAGCCAGGCATTATAAAAAGTGTCTGTGGTGCATTCTCATTTTATCTCTACAACAATCTTGTGAGGTAGATAGGATTATTATCCCTAATTTTAGAGTTGAAACAGACCATCAGGAAATCATGGCCACACAGGTGCTAGGCAGTAGAACAGGAATTAGAATCCAGCTTTTCTGAGTTCAGAGTCCAAGCTCTTAACCCCTACATGATAGTGTCTTCTCTGTATACCTGCCTTCCTGTAAATGCCTCATTAATCCATTTGCTAGTGGACATATCCTTGGTCTACACCAGAGATATTCTCCAAAATGGGAATTAGTATGGCATTATCTATGTGTCTTAAAGTTTAGAAGAAAGTTCTAAACTTTAATAATTGCTGTGAATTATGTACAAGTATGATTAGTATTATTAAAACCTGTCTGAAAATTAGTGATTTTTTTCAGTATTAATTATAAAATAATGGTAATTGAACTGTTCCATCCTGGTAAGAGTTTATAGTGCCTTAACATGTATTGCTCATCCTCATTCCGTTTCTGTGGGGGAGGATGGGTAAGATTGTATTGATGAAGAGATCAGAAAGCTTAAAGTCAAAGGTGATTAAATTAGTCACTGGAAGAAAAAGATTTGAGTCAAGTTTCCCTGGCTCTATGTCCCGGCCTCTGTATATCTTAAAAAGGTTCAGAATCATTTTTCCTTGTCTATTTTAGAATTAAGTAAATTGGTAAAATCAATGTAATTGGCCTTTGGTTCCTATAAAATTACAATTTTATTTAGTATGAAGTTATTTCCTAAATAATGGAATGCGTTAGTGGTAAGAACAGAGAGGGATAAAATGACAAACTAACATCGAAGAAAAGAGAATAATGAGCCCTGGCCCGTGTGTCCCAGTTGGTTTGGGTGTCGTCCAGTGTACCAAAAGGTGTCGGATTCGATTCCCACCCAGTCGACACACATGCCTGGGCTGCCAGCTGGGTCCCTGGTAGGTGCATACAGGAGGCAGCCAGTCAGTGTTTCTCTCTCATGTTGTCGTTTCTCTCTAAAAAGAATCAATAAAAACATTTTTTAAAAAAAAGAGAATAATCAATTATGTGTCCAATAAAGTCTAAATAAGTAATAAATAGTGCTATCATATGGTTTGTGAAATTCAAAATTTTGAGTGAGAAAAAAAATAGCAAGTGGATTTTTAGGTTAAAAGTAAGGTAAGAGTCACAAAGTGATTTTCCCCAATAGTGCTCAGCAAAGCAGCTCAGCAAACAGTAAGAACAGGCAGCCTGTATACGGCCAGAACTTGACTCTGAAAGGAATCCAGGCTGTGTCCTCTGCTCTGTGACTCATTGAGCTTCTCGGACCTGCTTCCCTACCTGCTCAGTGTGGACAGTGTCTGCCTCTCATTTTTGGGGGGTTAAACAAGACCCCGGTCAGCCATTAGCGCAGTGTCGGACCCTGGATAAGTACCCCCTTCCCCTCTCTTAAAAAATGCTTTCATGCTTTCCAGTTGATCGTAAACTTCCAAAATTATAATTAAAAACATTTTTTGAACAACTTTCCCCCCCCATGTTCTTAGCTGAGAAAGAACCTGGAACTTTTAAAATCCTGTAGGAAGGAAGATATTTTTAGACTAGCAGGAACAGCTGTTAAGAGCCGTATTTCCATTTGAGGTTATAACTTGCTCCTCCCAACATAGAAGTGTTATGAAAAGATCATGGAGTTAAAGCAAATGGCACCTCAGAAAGCCTCTCAGTCTTCAAAACAAAACGGAAACATCAGACTTACAACTAAAGATTGTTATGTAATATTAGTTAAGGTTTGGTTTCTTTTTACTTAAAATGTTCCTAAAATGTACAGGGTGGGGCAAAAGTAGGTTTACAATTGTAAATACAGAGTTTACTTGTGTATTTTTATTTATTAATTATTGTATTATTTTCTGTTTGAACAACTGTAACCTACCTTTGCCCCACCCTATATATAGGATTGAGAATATTTACTATTCAGTAATTCAGTATTTCAGTTTTATAGAATGAAAGATTACCTCAGGATACAAATATAACTAGAAATATCACATTTAAATGTTTTGTGACAGTAAATACACTTTAAATGTGATTTAATAAACTGTTATCTAACATCTTGCTTAATAATTAAGATAGTGGAGTTTTAATGACTGTCTGAGAGGCTTCGTAGTGCGTGAGGGGGATAGAGGTGGTGAGGTCCTAACACAGACTCATGCGTACGATTTTGCCCCTCCTGTTCCTATGTCTATCTTGGCTATGCCATCATACTGATTAACAGGAATTCTACCAGTCTTAATAAGGCTGTTTCTTTTTTAATCCATTTATAAAAATTTTCACATACTAGGGAAATTATTTGATGGGAAATGAACTATCAAAATTATGGGTAACACTGTGACATCCAGCTGCTCAAGGACTTGTTTAGTGGAGTCTTTTTGAATTGGTCCATTAAGCATTGTTGTGGAGAGGCTTTTGTTTGTTCTTCTGTTTGTTTTTAATCAGAGGGTTTATAATAAAGTGGTTTCTTGGCCTCATGGGAATCGGGAACTCCTTCCTGCAGAGACTATTGCCTTACTGTGCTGTCTCATTTTTTCCTCTCCAGCCCAGGTTTGAAGTCCATGTCTCCAAACTTCCTACTTCCGAGCCTGTATCTGTTCTCTCGTTTCCTGGAAATCGCTCTGCTCTCAAAGCCTTATTCTGAAAGCTGTCCACATAACACTTGATCTTTTTTTTCTAATATGCATATCGCTTTGAAATTGTTCAGTACTAAGTAGATTTCTCTCTATATTCTTGTGTCAGCTTCTTCTCTTATATAGGTTCTTTATGTTCTGGAATACCTGTAATACACTAAATACCTGTCTCATGTAGCAGAGGGCCCTCTGTAAGTATTTGACTGTGCAGACACTAGTGAAGCTAAACATCATTCTGGAGCACCTCATGCTATTAGTATTTAGTATTCTCTCTTAGGTCCTTGTAAAAAGTAAAATTTGTTTTAGATTGTTTTAAAAAGGTAAAGATTTTTTTTTTAAAATATATCTTTATTGATTTCAGAGAGAGGAAGGGAGAGGAAGAGAGAGATAGAAACATCAATGATGAGAGAGCCATTGATCGGCTGCCTCCTGCACACCCCCAACTGGGGATCGAGCCTGAAACCCGGGCATGTGCCCTGACCGGGAATCGAACCCCGATCGCCTGGATCCTAGGTCGACGCTCAACCATTGAGCCACGCCTGGCTGGACAAGATTTTTAAATATCTGTTGCTATTCTATAACACTTTAATTGAAAGAAAGGAGGATTTTTTTAACATTCTATTTGACGTGTTAGTAGTCACCTTAGAAATTAACTTTATTTTAAACATTTTGTTAATCACTATTTTATACTTGGAATTAAACTTCTTTTTTTGTTTGTTTTATAATTTTTATTTTATTAAGTGTCCCCAAATATTCCAAGTATAGTAAATAATGTGTTTTAAGTGGATCAAGTAGTGTTTATAGTAGAAGAAGCATTGTTATCCCTAGCATGAATGTAATGGTGATATGAAAAACTGTCATCTGTCTTGTCATTGTATAAAATAATTAACATTGAATTTTTATGAACCAGATATTGTGCTAGATTTTGTGTTTTTTTCCTATTCTTTCTTAATCAAAGTTATACATACACATAGTTCAAAGAGTCAAATATACATTTTTTTTCTGAATGAAAAACACCACTACCTTCACCTCTTCCCACTCCGTCTCCAGAACAAGCTCTTTTAACTCTTTTAGCAATTTTTTTTTGTTATTTATAACCATATCTCCAAATAACATTGATATATTGCTTTTGCTTGATTTTTCATTTTAGGTAGTTCTTTAATTCCTAATATAAAGCTTTGCTATTCTGCTTTCCAACTATTACATTTTTCTTTGCCTGCTCCTTTTTCCCCAGGATAATTATTGTAATTCAGTGTTTATATTATTGACTGTGATTAAGAACATTTACATTATTAAGATTATGTAATGCTGTGCACAGCTGAATGTATTATTTTTACCCTATACTGCATTTTTATTTCCTTGAGTTAATGACTGACTTTGTTTACATAGGTTTCCATCTACTTATTCCTAATTCAACCCACAACTCTTACTAGATGTATGAATATCTTCTTATATGTGTATATTCAGACATATCAGTTGTTCATCATTTTCATCCATCTTTTTTTTTTAGTCCTCACCTGAGGATATGTTTTTATTGATTTTAGAGAGAGAGGTTGGGAGAGGGAGAGAGAGAGAAAAAAAAAGATCAATGTGAGAGAGAAACATCCATCAGCCGCCTCCTATATGCACCCAGATGGGGCATCAGACCCTAAACCTGTGTATGTGCCCTGACTGGAAATTGAACCTCTCACCTTTTGGTGTATGGGACGATAGTCCAACCAACTGAGCCTCACCAGCCAGGGCTTATCCATCCATCATCTTGAAGAAATTGTTCCTGTTTTGTCTTGTCTGGACTTCTTGCCTTCTGTGGCTGGTATACAGCTGTCATCCTAGAATTTCCTTTCACCATCATCCTGAGATATGCTGGAGTCCCCCTTATGTCGGATTCCCTGACTTCTTACTTCCTATATCTCATGTCTTTTTAGATTTACTGCTTCA